GGGATTTTGGGGGGAATTTGAGGGATTTTGGGGTCCCAGGGAGGGATTTGAGGGGTCCAGGGAGGGATTTGGGGGTCCAAGGGAGGAATTGTGGATGATTTTGGGGTCCCAGAGGGGGATTTGGGGGGAATTTGAGGGATTTTGGGGTCCCAGGGAGGGATTTGAGGGGTCCAGGGAGGGATTTGGGGGTCCAAGGGAGGAATTGTGGATGATTTTGGGGTCCCAGAGGGGGATTTGGGGGGAATTTGAGGGATTTGAGGGTCCCAGGGAGGGATTTGGGGAGATTTTTGGGGATTCTGGGGGGTCCAGGGAGGAATTTTGGATGATTTTGGGGTCCTGGGGGGAATTTGAGAAGAATTTGGGGGATTTTTTTGGGTCCAGGGAGAGATTTGGGAAGATTTTCAGCTCCCAGGGAGGGATTTCAGTGGAATTTTTTGGGATTTCAATGGAATTCTTTGGGATTTGAAGGCTTTTGTTTGGATCTCGGCGAAATTTTCTGGATTTCAGTGGAGATTTTTGGGATTTCAGTGGAGATTTTGGGATTCCAATGGAATTCTTTGGGATTTCAATGACTCTTTTTGGATTCCAGTGGAACTTCTGGGATTCCAGCAGGAATTTTTGGGATTCCAGATTTTTTGGGGGGATTCCAATGAGATTTTTTTTGGATTCCAGCGGGAATTTTTGGGATCTCAGTGAGATTTTTGGGATTCCAACGAGATTTTTTGGATTCCAGCGGGAATTTTTGGGATTCCAGTAGAATTTTTGGGATTCCAATGAGGTTTTTTTTTGGATTCCAGCAGAATTTTTGGGATTCCAGTAGAATTTTTGGGATTCCAGTAGAATTTTTGGGATTCCAGCGGGAATTTTTGGGATTCCAACAGGAATTTTTGGATTCCAGCGGGAATTTTTGGGATCTCAGTGAGATTTTTGGGATTCCAACGAGATTTTTTGGATTCCAGCGGTAATTTTTGGGATCTCAGTGAGACTTTTGGGATTCCAACGAGATTTTTTGGATTCCAGCGGGAATTTTTGGGATCTCAGTGAGATTTTTGGGATTCCAACGAGATTTTTTGGATTCCAGCGGGAATTTTTGGGATTCCAGTAGAATTTTTGGGATTCCAACAGGAATTTTTGGATTCCAGCGGGAACTTTTGGGATCTCAGTGAAATTTTTGGGATTCCAACAGGAATTTTTTGGATTCCAGTGGGAATTTTTGGGATCTCAGTGAGACTTTTGGGATTCCAACGAGATTTTTTTTGGATTCCAGCGGGAATTTTCCCCACCCCAACCGTTTTTTTCTGCCGCTCCCGGGGTTCACTCCGTGCTGCAGGGAGCTGGGAAGGTTTTGGGGTGAAAAAGGGAGTTTTTGGCTCACCTTGGCCCCCTCGGAGGGGGGGGAGATGTCGCTGATCAGGTGAGCCAGGAGAGCCTCGCCGGCGCTGCCGGGACCCTGCAGGATCCCCGAGGCCGCGCCGGCCACCTGCACCCACAGCTCCAGCACCTGGTAACGAGATCACCGCAGCGCCCTGGGGACCCCAAAAATCAACTCGGGGACCCCAAAAACGGCATCAGGGACCCCAAAAACCCCAAAAAACACCCCCAAAAACCCCAAAAACCTCAAAATTCACCCCAAAACCACCCTGGGAACCACAAAAACTCCAGCCCTGCACCCACAGCTCCAGCACCGGCTCCAGGCGGCACCGCAGCGCCCTGGGGACCCCAAAAATCAACTCGGGGACCCCAAAAATGGGATCAGGGACCCCAAAAACCCTAAAAAACACCCTGAGAACCCTAAAACCCCCAAAATTCCACCCCAAAACCCTCTAAATTCGCCCCAAAAACCACCCTGGGGACCCCAAAAATCAACTCGGGGACCCCAAAAATGGGATCAGGGACCCCAAAAATGGG